GGGCTTGCCCTGAGCCTTAAACGGAGACAACTCTAAATACCACAAGTCAATTTTTAAAGAAAATATACAGTGGAAGCACAAAGACTTCCTGTAATAAGGATGTGATGTAATTCAGAAGTGCTCCGGAACAGCTTTTAATAGAATTTTTGAGTATTTTTGTATAAAATGGCATTTTTTTGTAAAAGCCTCACCTGATAGGACAAGGCCACTTTAGAGGGTATTTCAAATTGCATGCTGTAGTCAGATGAACCGAGTCCCATCACACCAATGGGAAGAATGAAATGTGTTGTTACGCTACCCAGCAGAATTAATTCGGGTTACTTGGAGAGCACAGAAGGTTAATTGGTGCACTGAGAAGACTATCTCAAAAACAAGTGCTCATCAGTTCTGCTCAGCAACATACTGCATTCCCCACCTGCACACTCACTTGCCTGAAGCCAGCCAAAAAGCAAAGCTGCAGATGAACACAGGACTCGAGCAGCAGGTGGGAAATCAGCCCCTAGATCACTGCCACGCTCACTGTGCGGATAAATGAAAACTTACTGCTTTAGTCATTAACTACCTGAGAGCGTCACAAGAGCATCAACGTAACACAGGTGGTAAGGAGGCTACTGTAATGCTCTGAGTTATTCTCTAAGGTCTAAAATAATGCAATAACAGGTACAGCAATGGAACAAAAGAAAACAAACCTCTGTCATTAAGCGTTTGAGGCCTTCTACCTCATCTTCTCCTGGGTTGAGCTCACCACCAGGTCTGTTAAAATAATCAATGACAGAAGCTAAAGTTATGTTTTATTACACTTACAGACTTTCACAGGTAAGCCTGGATGTGCTTCCAGACAGGGAGTTACAAATTCATGCAAGGCCATTGAGTCAAATGTTCCAAATCTTTGTTGAATTTGAAGAGAGCAGGAGAGCTTTCACCCAAACTGTGATCAAAGTAGCTGCTCTACTTCACTTTAAAAACCCTCAAAAAATAAATAAAATAGCTTTAACTTCAGCAG